CTGTATATGAAACAACAAAAGAAAGTCTGAAAAGAATAGGAGAGTTGGGTTCCGGTACTTGCGGTGTTGTGTACAAAGCCCGATTCGAACAAACCGGGACGATTATGGCTGTTAAGGTAGCATTACTTCCATAATTCACTGATTCGCGAAAACAGTTCTTCAAGAATTCTTTAAAAAGTCGGAGCTGTTGCAGCATTTCTTCCAAATAATTCTGATGTTTAAGCAAATGGTTATGACATCGGTAGCAGAAGAGAACAAACGCGTCCTAATGGATCTAGAAGTGGTACTTCGTTCACATGATTGTCCACATATTGTACGATGTTACGGGTGCTTTATTACTGATGTAAGCTTAATTTATTCTTTTAATACTCTGTGTAAATTTATATCTGAAAAGTTTTTTTTCTTTAAAACTCATTCGTTTCCATGAAGTTTTTTTCTTATCAGATCACAATGTGCTGTCAGTATGGGGTGCTGTCAGTATGGGGCATGTACATTTGAATAATAATTTGTTTGATATTATCTCACGAAATTCTCAGAATTTATATGTATATCTTTTGATATACATTTGAAAAAGTGAGATCTCTATTTTTTTATGGATGTGAAATTTGGACGTTTCAGTTTGAAGTACTGATTTGCATGGAATTAATGGCAACATGTTTGGATAAACTATCCAAACGTGTACAGAGTGGTTTTCCAGAGGATATCCTTGGCAAAATGGCTGTTTCAATTATTAAAGCATTAGATTATTTAAAAGTCACTCAGGTAGTAATCATCTTGGATTTTCATTCGTTTGCGGTTGTGCTGTTAATTTTAAAAAAAATAAGGTACGGAGTGGGAAGTGCGAAGAGAACTCCGTAGTGTCTTAATTAATGAAATAAGTCAATGATCCGTTTTATGATGAATACGATGAAGTCTATGAAATAAGGTGCTTCATTGTTTTTAAGAAAACACATTCATGAAAACGAAAAGCCTGTAGCATTTTTGTTACTACTGATAACACATTACACAATACTTTTTTTATAAACATAACTTCATTTTTATTGTTTGGTGAATACTTTATGTGGTTTCATAGCTGCGTAATAATGAGCCTAGTCCCAGCTGCGTAATAATGAGCCTAGTCACAGCTGCGTAATAATGAGCATTGGTCCGAAGAATAGGCTATTTATGTCTTTCAAGAATGCTATTGAAAATTTAAGAATTTGCTTGCAGAATATTATTCATCGTGACGTAAAACCATCGAATATTTTGCTCGATTTGAATGGAACGGTTAAATTATGTGATTTTGGTATTGCTGGACGTTTAGTTGATTCAATGGCTCGAACACGTACAGCGGGTTGTTCTGCTTATATGTCGGCAAGTTACTGAAAACTTTTCTACTCAAAAGATTATTGGGATAAATATCGTGAGCAAATTTCATTAGACAGCTCATTTCTACTTTTCTATGGTATTCCAAGCTTCTGATGAGAAGTCTTCATCTTGTAGTTCATTGCTTACAGTCATTGTCATGAATCTTATTTTCTTTTAATCTTATCTTTAATCATAGCCCGAGCGATTGGAAGCACAAGACGAATATGATGTTCGCGCTGATGTTTGGAGTATTGGAATTTCTTTGGTCGAATTGGCTAAAGGTGAATATCCCTATCATGGTTGTAACAGTGAATTTGAAGTACTTTCACGAATTGTTTCTGATCCAGCACCGGTGCTGCAGCCTGAAGAAGGCTTTTCCCCAATGTTCTGTGATTTTCTTCGCCTTTGCCTTACGAAGAATTATCAATTTCGACCAAAATATAAGGAACTTTTGGTATGTTTCCTGAAAATCTCTCTACCACTTTTAATTCATTCATTTATTCATTCATTTGATATCAATTCCTCAAACTAATCAAGTTAACATTAATAGAGGAATGTTGCTTTCCAATTCGCATTTCAATTTTTGATTTGAATAACGTAGGTTCAAGTAAGTGTGCGGTTAGGAAAATTTGCAGGGATAAACGTTATACCATATCTTTCCATAAAATACGGGAGATATACATCATTAGAGTGCATATATCATTGCTTGAACAAAAACAACTTGAAATCTGTTCCATTAGATAAGATCTGTTGGTAACTTATTCTATCAATTATGGCACTCCGCTTCATTAAATTATGAGATTGTGCGCTTTTTTCAGTGGAAAGTTTCATTTCAGCAACATGAATGGATGGTATATTATGAAACTGCGAGAGTAGATGTTGCTGGTTGGTATCAAAGAATCGTCCAGAGTTGATAATGAGCTTCTTTTGTGCTTTACCATACATCAAAATCCAGGGAAATTCTTCCAGAAAGCTTCAAATTTATTGTGATCTATTGAACGTGGTGATGTGGAGTAAATGGGGGTTACTGTTTGATTAGAGAATATTAAATGTAAAACACTATAACTCCATAATACCAGTGATAGGAATTTTACTTTGTCTTTGAATTTTTCGGCATAAAAATAGTTATCGCTGTAATATTATAATATAAGTATTAGTTATTCAAACTTTCGCCATTAACTAATGTTTTGAAGTTGATAATGATAAGATTTTGTTAAACTCTGTTCAATTAGATCTATCACTTAATTCTCAGTTTTAGATAATATTTTAGAAAGTTGAAACTTTGTCTTTCTGTTCAAATTGTTATCCTTTCAAAAAAGATGGATTGTATATGTCTTCTAAAAAAATCTGAGAACGAAAAGTTTCCCAGGTATTTTATTCATCGTAATTGTCTTCGTTCCAAAAAACACATGGTGATTGCATGCTTCTATTCAGCAATCTCTTTGTACTCTACAATAGCTAAAAATCCAAGAAATGGTTGTAGTAGTTTGGTGATTCTATCGGTTTTGTCATGCTCATTTACTACAGAAAATTTCCCGATGAGAATGTGATTCCTGGCTTAGACTGATCGCATATCGAGTTCCTAAAGGTAATATATTCGCTTATTGAGTTTCGGCGAGTAATTTGAATTGATTGTCCTTGATTGGATAACTTCAAACTTGCGCTGATATATTACACTTGGTGAACTTCACATTAACTGGTTATTACGGTTGTAATAGTTCAAAGAAGATATTCAGAAAGGTCAAATGGAATAGGAAAAAAAAAGAGTTGTTGAGTTCTTGAAAAAATTTTTAGGATTGTTGGTATATTGTATTATAACTGTTGCACTTTCATGGTAATTATTTATTGCTACGCGAATGATTTTTTGCATCGTGTATTGATAATTATTCATTTGCTCTTAAACTATTTTCTGCCAAAATATATTTGATAAATTTATTATTGAGAAATTATTTGTTTATTGCACTCAAATTTCTATGTGTAAGGTAAAAAAATATGAATTATATTCTGCTTAAGTTTGAAAAAATCCCTCATTTCTTACTTGACATTCATCGGATCTAGTGCTATATCCAATTTTTGAAATTCAACTTCATAAGGAAGGGATTATTTATCTGTAAGAGAAGCTTGAGCAATTTATGTTTCGAACATCGATCCTAATTTTCAATTCAAAGTTCTGATTTAGCAAATCGTCTGAACTTTCTTAATCCCATTCTGTGGTTACATTCCTCCCTACACCCCCTATTAATTTTGTTTTCCAATTCACAATTTTAAATTTCGCAGCTGTTTGAGAAATTCTTCATTTTGCAACTGTTGCTGTTTAAAAAGAAAAGGATAAATTATGACCTGTCAATTATTCATTTGAACATTTTTTCAATTGATGAAATTCCTGAATCCATCAGGTAAGTTTTCAATCTACTGTTAGGGTTACTTTTTGAATTCAAAATGATTTTAGAACTTGGCAGTCCAGTCAAGTACCATTATTGTCCATTCTTTTTTTGCTCCTCAGAAATTGATATACAGCAAGTTTTCTAAATAATTATTTTAATAATATACATAAGTTAGTTATTAGTATTTTGTATTTCTCCCTAACAAATCAAAGAAGTAGGAAGAGACTTACCACCGTACCACTCTTTATACATGATATTTCTACTTTCCATTTCTTATCTCTACTATTATTTCTTTTTTCGATTTTCTTGTTTCATCAAGAAAGTTCATATTCAAAGCTTTAAATATTCTAAACTGTATTAAATAATATCTCATATAACTGATTATCAAATTTTAACAATCTAATTTTATTATGTGAAAATTGTCAATCAATTTTCAATAATCGATAGTCAAATTTGAATAATTGCAATCAATGCATATTTTGAGAATTAGCATATTTCAGGTTTGCATCAAATGAGATAAGCTCGTAATAATCATTTAGATTGGTGGTTGTGACGCTAAGCGTAATATTCGTCAGAAATGTCTTCCATAGAATGGAAAATTTCGCAAATACGTGTAAGTTCCGCATAATCAATTAAACATATTAGCGGTATATTATGAAAGTTAATAACTGATTACGACGTTCACATTCTTCCTGTTATTCAATTCCGATGTAATATTTAAATATTAATTATAACATATTTATTTTAGTATTACCAAACGTTACTGTTTATATCTGACTTTTCAGCGTTTGAAATTACTGGAAATTAGTTGCAATATAGTTTAGTACAATTATCAACCTCGATATTGCTCATATAAGTTATCAGTTATCAGTTTCGTTGTAATTTCAGAATTCATTTCACTGATAAGAATGTTGCATTAGGAGATTTTAAATGTCCAATTCTCTTTATTCATTTTTTTCTTTTGTTGATTTACTATTATTATACTTTATAATTATTCCGAATCTATTAACAAATATCTTAGGAACTGAAAAATAAAAGGAAAAAGGGATTAGAATTAGAATTGTGTTCATTATTCTCTTAATGAATGAATTCTGTTTTCCAACTTCTTTGAGCATAGTCAGAAGGATGACGAAGTACTTAAGTGAATGATTATTTTAACATAATAATATAAAGATGCTATCATTAAATGATGATAGCATGAAGCTATCATTTAAATGCTATTATGATGCTATCATTTAAAATGATGCTATCATTTACTCTTCTTAGGATATGTTTCCATGCTTAAGTATCGAGCAAGTTCGATTTTTGCTTAGAGAAGCAAATGGAAATATGGTTGATGCAGTTGAAATGGCATTTGAATTATTGAATGATACATCGAGCACATCAAATTCTTTGCTTCTGAAACAATCCATGATCGGAGATTACGGATTGGCAGCTACAGGCGATCAGTTAATAACAGCGTCATTATTATCGTCATCTTCAGAACCAATCCGAAATGAAATAATAAATGAAAGCTGCCGAAATGGGAAGCATTCGATGGCAGTGGAACGAAAGTGATCTTTCCTTTTTTAATTTATATTTAAAATTTAAAATTGTTATTTCCAACATTATGAAAGGTTAAGAATTATGCAACATATTTAACGCAGTATTTCGAAAAATGAGTTGCATCGTATGAACTATTTGTTGCATCTGCTAGGCATTGATTATTAAAATTTAGATGTGTTTAAATTTTAACTATCAACTTGCATATATCCATTTGAACTTCTGCGTTAACAAATTAATTAATTGAAATAATTTGGCGTTCGCATCATAAGCTAATTTCGGGAAATCAAAATAGGAACAGGATTTGATAGTCTTAGTGATACTGTTAATTATTCATTTTCGATCTTTCCGGAGTTTGTTATTTCAGTTTTCTGTCTATTATTATTACAATTGTTTGCGAAATTATAGGGTTATTACTGTGAAATTAAAGCTTATGATCTCAGTAGAAGGCGTTCCGAAGAAACAAATCAAATACATCCTCAAAAATATTCTGCAACATGTATGTTCATGTTATTATTTAATTTGCAGTATTGAAAATTTAAACGGTGATTTTGATTATAAATGCCTTTTTGTTCTGCTGGTGATATTGAACTTGAAGAAAGATCTTAATCTAATATTCGATTTGAAATCTTCTTTGTTTTATATATAATAATTCCTATTACACATTTTTATAAAAGCGAAAGAAATAAACTGATTTTATAAGCAATGCAAACATATTTTTCAAAATAAAAGAAACTGTAAAACTTTAATTTATCTAGAAATCTTAGATTCCTTGGTACTCTTAGAACTCATCGATTTCATTAGTTCGAAATTTCTTGAGGATAAAAATTTTAACAACAAAAGAACCTTTGAGTGGAACGGTTTTCATTTTACAGTGTAACTGTTCAATTCGATCTTTCAACAAATTAATGCCATGTCTGCAAGCAGCTTACGAAGAAAAATGTGTCGAAGTTCACGTTGAAGTTGAACTCTCTTGTGATAAAAGATCAAATCAAGAGGCATTAATTGATTTCACAAAATCATTCATTACAGAGTCTGGGTAAACTCCTTAAATCTTTATTCTTAAAATGCATCTTTCTTTTCATGTTAATGATGAAGCGATCTGGAGATGTTGATATAATTTTCAGGTATGGTCTTGAAATGCAACCTTATATGGAAATATTGCATATTGATCGAGTGTTAACCGACGTACGGTTGGTTTATTTAGCAACTATTTTCGAGTCTATCCATTCTTTTTTTTCGCTTCAAGATTTTCCGAAAATTTAGCCTTTCCTAGAGAATGGGATCAGGAATTTATAAAGCTACAAAATTTTTGAAATTTGGATCTGCTTTGCCGATTGCTTTTCCTCATTTTTTGACGATTAACAAGAATGCGGGAAAAAATTAGTTGAAAATTGTAAGAAAATGGAAGATGATAATTCTAAATTTTCAATACCTTTATTTGGTATTGCTAGAGGGAGAGAGAGAGAGAGAGATTTTTCATATTTCTTTATTTGTTGAATTTTTGCAAAATAATGGAAGATTTGTTTCGACGTTTTATTTCGATATTTATTTAAGATACAAATTTGGAATATACGAGAAATCCATTCAAATCAACAAATAGAGAAAAAACTTTTAATCGAAAATTTAGTGAGAATCAGAATTGAAATAATGCATCATTTGCAGACCTGATCATGCAAATGTGGACATACTTTGGCTTGGAATTGGGAATATGCCAAATATGGGCCTATTTTTTATCCGTGGAGAATATGTAACTAAGTATAACACATGTAGTAACAAATTAATCGTCAATTCGGTATGTGAAACAAAAATGAATAATGCTGCCGGTGAGTATTTATTCCGATAATTTTCAAAATATACATTTAAAACATCTGTTTGAATCATTCATCAACGTTGACTGAAATTCACATTGCTGTCCGTTACTATTTAAATAACGTTTGTGCTACTTCAGAATAATCTGGAATAAAATATATTGCCAATTAATTGGACGATAGGCAAATTTGTTTAATTTATCCGTAATTAGTGACAATCAGTAGAAACCATGCAATTTCGAGATTTGATTAAATTTCTACCTATCGAAAATGACTTGTAAGCAAAATTTGATGCAGCATTGAAAATTTTCCATTCATATGCAAAACATTTCAACTAAACATTTTGGTACAGCGGCACAAAAATTGAAGTGTATTGGAAATCTTTTGTTGATTTTGAACAATTATGATGACCTTAGTGTTTGAACTTTATGCGAATTAAATTATTGTAAATAAATTAAAATTTTAGGTAATCATACGCTATTATCGTGGGCACATTTTGAACACGATCGACGATTGTTAACTATTTATTTTGCTATCGAGAGTGTTACCCATGCTCATGACGGGTTATCATATACAGGCTATAAGTTTGTTATCACATATAGTTCATTCTATATGATTATCGTTGATTGTGATTCGGATCCAGATGAAAGAGATAACTATGTTTATATTTATTTACGACATCCGCCACAGGTTTAATACTTTATTTTCTTTATTCCTCGAAATTTTGGGACTTATTTTGTTTGCTTTCTTGTTTATGTACTGTACACTTTTTGTTTATACACTTGTGACAGGTTTTTGGAATGCACATGCTCGAATAATTTCACTCACATAGGTGAAAAAATAATTTTACTAAACTATTATTAATCTAAACAGCTGATGATATTTATAAAATTAACACAGAATATGATAGCGCCTCAGCTTTGCGATATTGTTTGATATTTTGAATTTGATGTACTGAAATTATATTTCCAATAATTCAAAATGCAGTTATGGGAAGCGGTGCCGCGAATTATGACAAACGGAAAGAGAGTCTTGAATATTGAGCAATGTCGTGATTGGATACGTGTGGGAAGTTTCCCGGGAAGTAAACATTTCGCCGGTTGTTCTCAGGTATTTTTAAATGATCAACCGCTTCTGTAAAAATCTGACGAAATCCTAATCTAGATTTCTCTTATGTTGACTAAATTTTGAATCAAATTTTGATTTTATGAATAGTTAATAAAATGAACAAAGTGAATTTTTATATAGGAGGCTTTGGCTGATTCATCATGGTTCAGCTTTTCGATGTCGAAAGAAACAGTGAAGCCCGAAAGAATGTTCCCGGATGAAGTAGTTGACTGGCAAAGACGCTCATCAAGTGTAAAATTGGTAATTAAGTAACAAATATTCCAAATGAATAGCAAAACTCATTAAATCATAGCTACAAGGGCATCAAAATGCTTGTCAATGAAAAAAGCTTTATAGTTGCTTATAGTTGCTTGGTTTCTGCTATTACCTGTATTTTTTATATCCATGAAATATGGAACATCTTTTTTCCATCCAGCGATAAAAAACAATTATTTCTTATTTCTTTATTTTATATCCATCATTTTTTTTTCATAATTATATCATTGTCGATAAATGATATAATTATAATATCTTGGAATTTTTCATCATTTTCCTAATATGTCAATTTTTTCTTCGGAATATGAATGATCAGAAAGTTAAATATCTTAATATTTATTTTTCAAGACTCCAACACGTCAGCTTTTTGAAATCATCGCACGTTGGAAACGTCGGGCCAAGTGTCGAATATTTTTTGCAGCAATTATGAAAATTCCTCGACGAGAAATTTCGAATATTCACATCCTAGAATTGCCGTCATTTAGGTGTCCAATTTATGTTGCCTTCTTTTTTCTGTACTAAACTATGATTTTTGAAGAGGTTAGAAAGTTGCGATGAGTTAACAAAATAGTTCGAGCAGGAACATATAATGGTAAACCACGAGTTTAATCGATTAAATCGCTGATTGTAACAACATGAACAAAACTATTAGTTTCCATGATCATGATGATTGATATGATAATTCTAGATTAAATTATGCAATGCAAGCATTGTTAAGTAGAGGAAGTATTGTGAAAGATCAACTTTTTGACGTTTCGCAATCCTCCTGCAATAATCTCTTTTTCGAACGGATTAATTACGCTGCTCAGGTATAAAAAATGTTTTTTAATTAATTTGGTTTAATTAAAAAGAAAAGATTATAGCGATTCGATTTGTTGGTTCATTGCAATGACGGAGTTAATCATTAAATTTAGCTGAATTTCTTAGTTTTATTGTTTAATATTTAAACTGTAATTATAATTGTTGAAAGATCAATATAATCAAAGTTTGGAGGAGCCACTATTGCAAAAGGTTGAAGAAGAATGCACGAATAACGCTATGATGGTGATAGAATTTTGAAATGAGAAAACAATTTAAATTATAAATATGTACTTCTCAGGAATGCTTGTTAGCTTGTGAAGAGACCTTGGATTCTGCTTTGGCAGCTATAGATGAAAAGCGACGCATCTCATTACTTAATTTTTTCGAACATGCATATATTCATAAATTAAATGCTTTTCGAAGAGTATCAGCTGATGGTGACGCTGAATCAGTATCGGATCTACCACATAATTGTGTCTTAATTCGAAAAGTAACTATCTTTAATTTTTTCAAGAAGAAAATGAAAAATCTGATTGTAACATTTACTTCCTCATGATTGCAATAATTTTTTAATATCCCTTTTCAGGTTATTGCAACTCCATTGCGACTTTTGCTTTTGCCACCGGAAGTTATGATGACGAATCGTGTAATACGTCATTTTGGTGAAGAATACGCATTACGTTGTGTATTTCGTGATGATAATGGTCAACGACTTGTACCAAAAGAATTTTCACGAGGCCGCGCTTTACAAGGTTTAATTTTCGGATTTTTGCCGCTCTCAGTAATAATTCGAATGTACATCAACATTTTAAAGAAGTAAATAAATAAAACATTTTATAAACTGTTGCCCATCCTTAAAAATAATAGTCCATTTTCTGTGGCGAACACAATTTGAAAAACATGACCTTGTACTATGTGTTGTTGAGCCAGATTCAGAGTTGTATCCTGAATTCTGGGATAATTATAAGTCTTGCAGACAACTATTTCCATCTATTTTGGATCAAATTTTTTGCATTTAAACTGAAACTTTTGTTTTAAATTATGAATTTGTTCTGTATCATCATAAACAATGAGAATTTTTATTGGAAACTAAAATACAATATGTCTTTGACGTCATTAGGGCTATTAATTAATCCAGTATTAACTAATTTCAGATCAATCCTTAATAATTCCGGATTTGGTATATAGAACACTTGGAACAGGTCTACATATAGCATCACGGCATTATCAGTTTCTTGCATGGTCTAATTCACAAGTACATGAAAATATTGTTATTTCAAAATAAACTTCAGCTCACAGCTCATTGTTCTGTTAACCTCTAGCTAACAGTATTAACGACTGAAATAACGGCGATAAAAATTTGTCCTTTTCTTCAATAACGTTTTTTAACGGTGATTGAAGAAATGGTCTAAGATGACTAAATTTTTTGCCGAATTTGAAACAGAGCAAGCAAAACCGAAAAATATATATCTTTTAGTTTTTCAATTTTATCTGTCAACTTCGGAAATTTTTAATCGATAATTTGAAAAACAATGAAAATATTATTTTAAGATGCGTGACGGCGGTTGCTATATGTATTCGGATGCCATTGTTAACGATGAAGTACACGGTCAAATGGTATGTAATGTTGAAGATATCAGACGTTGGATGGGTGATTTTACAGCTTCAAAAAGTGTCCCCAAATTGATGTCTCGTATGGGACAGTGCTTTACACAAGCACAGGTAAATAATCTCTTCATCTCAAGTATGTGAACAGTAATATCATTCCAAGCATTCATCTTTTACTTCTTTGTTTTTCTATTTTCTCCTTTACTATTCATGTGCTTCTTATATTCCTCTTTCATTTTCTAATTTTTCTTTTCGCACAATTCCTACCGATTTGCTAATTATAACTTTTCTCTCGCAATTTATTTTGTGCTTCTCTTATATACTATTTGATCGTTCGACACATTATGAAAAGCATTGTTCAGAAGAAGAATTTTTATTAATTTATTCAGTTCAGAGTTAATTTCAGTTTATTATATTTTACTCGTCTTTAGCTGGTGATATTAACGGCTGAAATAACGGAAATGAAATTTTGTTTTCTAGCTCATTTTATCGAATTATCTTCTCAAAGATTCGAATTTGTAAACTTTACTGTTCGTTCGATTTTTCTTTATATTCTGTCTTACGATATATTATTCTTTGATGTTGTTGACCTTTGCATTGTTTGCAGTTTTCCATTTTCATCAGCATTTTTATCTTTCCTTTTAATCTGTAATTTTTTTCAGCCAACAATAATGTTAAAAAAAGATGACTGGAAATTGGAAGATGATATCATGGGTGGTATCGTGCATCCAGAAACTGGTGAAGTTTTTAATTTCTCGGATGGTGTCGGAAGAATTTCTAGGAAATATGCTGATCGAATTGCTAAAGTGCTGGGTTTACATCCGACACCATCCTGTTACCAAGTAGGCAGTCGACTTATATGTTACCTGATGTTGCTAACTGTAATAAATATGATTTTATGGAAATTAAATACGTAATTACCAGATTTGATATTAATTAGAAATTAAATTTCACTTCAATTTTTTAAATTAAAATTTACTTCAATTTTTTCAGTTCTGCATAGGATGTTTTCTAACCCTTTTAAGTTTTAGGTGCGATTTAAAGGTTTCAAAGGTGTCCTATGCATTGACCCGTTGTTGGATGAATTGGGCGAAGCAGATGTTATCTTCCGGAAAAGCCAAAAAAAATTTGAGGAAGATGAGGAAAGTGCAGCTGAAATAGAAGTGGTGAAGTATTCAATGCCTTCACCAGTTTGCTTAAATCGACCATTGATCATGATTTTAGATCAAGTAATTGTCTTTTTTGGAAATCTCATAACTTTAAAATTGGGATGCATAACTTAATCTATTACTAACCGGGGATTGTTGAATTTATTAATAAATTTTTTAAAATATAAATAAAAATGAATAAATTCTTGAAGCAAACCTAAACGTTGCGAATTTATAGGTTTCTGAGAAGCAAGGTCGTTATTTACATAAAAGAGTTTGCAATCGGATACATTCGCTGTTAGAGTTGGAGCTTAATAAACTAGCCGGTTAGCTACTTCGTTTGTTTTAAATCATTCCGACACATCTACACTTATTGTGCAATGCGGGTGAATTTTTCATTCAGCCTCTAAAAGACATCATTCTATCAGATAGATTTGGATTGATATAACGCAGAATCGGTACAACTTTTTTACCGGAATAAGATATGTCACAACATCTTGTTAACAAAAGAAAATGATCAGGTTTCCTGAAAGATCTCAATTGTTTTGAATATAATTACGAGGTAGACCTCTCATAAATATGATTTTCAGCTATGATGTTTGATGAAAATGATGCTACCGAAGAGCTCACTTCACGTTTGTCACTTCCAATTGATTTCCATCAATTACACAGTAGTGGTATTACATTTACCAACGAACCTTTCTTTCGTTCATTACTAATTGCCGTACATAGATACAACATAAGTTAGTCTAAAAATTTTTTAATTTTATTTAAAGTCTGAATTAGTAATCTTCACTCACCTTTGTTTTTGAACAGTTTTCTGCGGAAATTTTCTTTATTGTTTGAAAGGAATCACCAAAATTTCTCATAAACGATCTGTAATCAAAATTTACTAATACCATTTAAAATGTATTTCAGTGAAGTAGAATTATGCTCTTCCTTTTCTCTCTTTATTATAAGTTGCTTTTGCTGATAATGATTTAGTTCAAGTATTGCTGCCAGTATTATCTTCAGAATTACATTTGAGCAAATCCAAAATTCCTTTACCCGGTTCAATGGGTCGAACAATGTACGGAGTGGTTGATGATACTGGATTACTCCAATATGGGCAAGTTTTTATACAATATTCGCCATCTGTACGATATGTTTCGAAGAAGAAAATTGTTTATGCAGGTAAGAGAACAGAGAATTGATATCTGTCAATATTTTTATTTTCTTCCCTTTTTCCGATTTCTGATTTCGATCTTTCCTTAAAATATAACATTTTTCCTGATTTCAATTTTTTCTTAAGAGAGGGGTACTCCTTTCATTTAATGTCTTTCGCGTAATCAAATAGATTAATTTTACCCTTTTATTAAAATTCTGAAGAATGAGTACAATGGTCTAAATCAATTCGTATATATATAGTATACAACGGCCTAAATCAAGTCGTACATATATAGTATACAATGGTTTAAATCAAGTCGTATATATATAGTACTTATATTATACTATTTGATTCTTAAAAAATGAAATACTGTAAAAAAGTACCCTTTATTGTCAACTTACATGTGCTATTATTAGTTACGATTCAAGGGAAATTTTTGCAAATTGAAAAACAATGCAGAAGAATTAGATGTTATTTGAAAAACTTTTGTTTCTTCAGGCTCGGTAATGGTAACAAAGAATCCGTGCCATGTAGCGGGTGATGTTCGCATTTTCGAAGCAGTTTATCAAGATGCTCTATCACACCTTTGTGATGTTATTGTATTTCCACGATACGGTCCACGCCCACATTCTGATGAAATGGCTGGTTAGGTTTAAAATATGTTAAAATTTTGGCTTTTGTTGACTTTTGCGTGTTTTAATCTTGTTACGATTGTCTTTACGTTTATGCACATTCTTCATTTAATTCTTTGTACTCTTATTTATCACTGTTATTGTTTTATTTTTCGCTTTCACTTTTTACTTTCGTATGTATTAATTAATATCATTTTTTAAGCCTTTAATTAGTCGTGCTAATTTGCAATTGTATAACTTGTTGGAATTTTTTGTTGTTTTCAGGAAGTGATTTGGATGGTGATGAATATATTGTTATATTCGATAAAGAATTGTTTTTTGAAAATAATGAACAGGCAATGTTTTTTCCAAAATCGACACCAACTGAATATGATACACCACCTACTGTATGTTATTTTTTTCCGGAGCAGAGACCTAGAATTGTTAAAATTAAATTCATATTTGCTTATCAGAGCGTCAGAGGAAAAGTGGAAATTTGAGAATTTATGTTTGGAGTAATTTATGTTCAGGATATCGGCGCTATCATATTTTGTGCCATTGAATTAGGAAAGCGATTGAATGATTCAAGCTTAGAATTTTAAAATTAGCTGATTTCCACTGCTAAATTTAGTCACTAAACTTGCTCAAATATTTACTGGATTGAATGTGATATATTATTGGTGAAGAATATATTTATAGACGGAAGATATGATAGATTTTTTTCTGAAATATCTCAGCCAAGATTCGATTGGTCGGATGTCCAATGCTCATCTGATCATGTGCGATCGACTTGGTCTTTTCCAGCAAGTTATTCTTCCTTTTTCTTCCAAACATTTAGTTATTTATGATATATCGACTATTCGCGTACTTATATATGTACTTATATGGCGGTGAATTTTGCAAAATTTAGTGGTGGTTATTATCTGATTCGTTGATGAGGTTAGCAAGATTTAACATATTTAAATAGACATTCTTTTTGAAATGGAATTTTCTTTCAGTGAAATATGTGATGACATTGCCCGGAAATGTGCTATTGCTGTAGATTTTCCGAAAACAGGTGTACAAGCCAAACCGCTAATAGCACATGAACAATGCGATGCTATACCCGATTATATGCAAAACATGATAAAGCCATCGTACAGAAGCAAGCGATTGCTTGGTGAATTGTACAGGTTTAAATTATGACTTTCCATAGAGTATCTTATGTTCAGTAGAAAAGATCCTTAATTTAGACGAAGTAAAACCGATTACAGATTCGGAGTGTGAACTGAGTATGAGCCTTCAGATCTAACTGTTTGGCATCAGAAGTTTTTTTAGAAAATCACGAAAAGTTGAAGATATTTCGGAAATGGCACAAGAAGCAAAATTTGCTGACTATTATGACCCTCAACTTTATGATGAAAGCTTATTTCATGAACAATCGAAATTAGTCCAAAAAAGTTTATATTTGAGGAATGAATACTATTCGAGAATACAGGTATATGTGTATATGTGTTTTTATTTGCACTTCGTTCTTAATATTTTAGACATTGTCGTGCCATTGAATCAGATTTTTGGCGATATCATAAGATGACCTTTGAAAATCGGACAAAACATACTTCATCATCTGTCTCTAAGATCAAACAATGAATCACCCGCGTAAAGATCCATTTTTTTGCGTGGATTTTACAGCAATTGTTGGATGAATATGGAATTTCTGACGAAGCTTCTGTAATAACGGGGCATAGCGTGGCAATCAAAAGGATTATTGAAATGGAAAAAGATGATTATTCGTTTTATCATTCCGATAAAATTGTCGAACTACGATACAGTCGTATTTTTGCACATTTTAGGCGTGAATTTTTCAAGGTTTTTATTTTGAAAAAAGTTTTGTTCTAAAAAAATTTCACTCAAAAAAATTTTTGCTAAAATAACCAGTGTTTGATATGTATTTATAGGAATTCGGAAAAGAGTCAGACTTCTTTACGGTAGATGCTTTCGGAAAACGTGGGATACGCTGGAATATGGCTTTGATAACGAAAGCTAAGGTATGGTATGCGGTAGCGTATTCCAGCTCATTCAGATCATCTTCTGAATTTCGATCTTTCCCATGGATCGTTTGGGACATTTTGCTGATTGCCAAACGTCAAATCGTAAGTGATTATGTATTACTTCAAATCAGTTTCAAGGAATACAATACGAATGAATGGTACATATTCCAAAGGAATAATTATACCAGGTAAACGAATTTAACTTTGCTAATAAAAAATACCTTTCGAGTCATAGAATAATTAGTTGTTGTTCAGGCGGACTAAATATATTTTTAAAAATATCAAATTCCAGGCACTAATGCTGAAATCACCACCACCGTTGATAAACCCTTTAGCAATTCATCTTACACGAGCAATTGAAAATTTTTGCTGTTGTCATCGTGCTGCACTAAAACAGTTTGTTAATGAGATGTCATTAGGGCCGATGCGACTTGAAGCATTTGTGCGATATTCTCAGAGGTAATTTGCTTATGAACTTTTTCGCCTAATAATTATTCTAACCGATACAAAAACCGCGGATGGAGCAATAAGAATGAGGATATAGACGACCTGCGATTACGTATACTATATATATTACATAAGAGATATTACTTGACATGTTTCGTGAAAGAACCATGTATTGATGTGTATAAACGATTTTAGCTTTAAATTTCTGAAATCTAATTTTCATCAGATGTTTTTAAATTAAAAATTACAGATACGGGTCAAATGTTGAAATGCTGTGTTTTGTCATTGATAATTGGCTGAGAACAGAAGGAGTATATGAACGTTCTGCATTGCGAAGGATACATGCTGTCATTTTATTTTTGCAATTTACTATTGGAATCTTACATGGTAAACGGAAATCTGACGAGTTGATGAACAAGCATCCTATTTATTTTGAAAAGGTAGAAATATATAGAACAAGAAATCGTCGTAATTCGAATTTCTTACCTTTCCCAATTTAGAATTAAAACTGATTTAAGGAAATTTCATTTTCGATTCAACTTCCCTCAAAATATTTTTCCATTTCTTTGCAGAGTTCATATTTTTCGGGTTTTGCTCAATATATTAACTAGCAACTTCGGATATTGTTTAATCGAAAATAAATAATGCGTAAATATTTTATATGATTATATCTAAATAATGCATATTTCATATGATAGGGAGAGGAGATGTATTGGTTCAAAATTTGAACCGTAATTATTGTAGTTGGACGATTTACAAGATAATCCGGAAACTGTTGACTTAGCGTACAGTACTGGTGAAATACTCTTCGCATTTTTGCGTTACTTAGCAAGCGGACAATTTGCTTATGCGAATTTTATACGTTTTCGATTGGGTGGCATGATGAAAGGAAAGAAGGGTGCTTCAATTTTCACGAGACCAGAACAATGGTCTGCTCTTTACGCTGTAGGTTTTTTTTTTCAAAAGGCAAGTTTAATTAATGAATTTTTGTTTCAAATTCATGGAAGATTATCCTAGCAGGAGAATCATGTTCCGGAAAGCTATAAAAATTTCGTCTATACTGAGGGCAAACTGTCATAATATAAGTATCAGCCAGTGCTGTAGTAAAATGTTACTACATACATGTACTTGTTAGAGAACGAAAAAAATTGCAAGACTCGAAATTTTTGATATTTCCAAAATCTAGAAATGGTTTTAGCTATTGCTCAAACTTTTTTTTCGAACCAGGTAGCATTTCGTGCATTCCATCATATTGCTATAACGGCCGAATTTGATGCTCTTCGAATTACGAAAGATTGTGGTAGTAATATTAACTGTGATAGTAATGGTGATGTTAAGAGATGTAAGTGGGACTTTGGTGAATCAGATGCTCCAGTAATCGTATCGGGTGAACTTTGCTGTCATAAAGACATTAGTTTGCAACGAATTAATACTGCACTTAAGGTATACTATTGCTTTTTATTGGTAACATTCATTGATCATATCAATCATATATAATTGGAAAGAGAACTTATTGACCATCAATTTCATATTTAAAGTTTTTCTATTGCGTGCTGTTCTAGCTTTAATTTACTTATTGGCTATGTTTTGATGGATATTCCATCGTAAAAGGCATTACAAAAAGTTCTTGCTGTGCAGTTAACATGTTAATAAACAATGGTATGCAAAATATCAAGCAATAATTGACAGAAATAACCATTACGTTAACACATTACAGAAATGGTCTGGTGTAGATGAAATAATGAGTCGTATGACGAATCATGAACAATTGTTAGTTACCTGTACCGGAAGTGCAGTGGCTCGACAGCGATTACATCGAATATTATTAATGGAACTGGAACGTCTTTTTGACGCTGTACAAACAGATATCACACCAAAGGAAGCTCGAGATGATTTCTTGTAAAATGAGGTTTACGCCAGCTTGGAACTAAAATCGATACTTATCATTTAAGTAGCGTCTGGCATGCTTTCCCAAGTTTCACTTATAGCTTTATCTTCCTATTCAGTGCTAAGCGCATTGTCCTCATGAATTCAGCAGTTTGTTTTATATTTTCTAGGTTCAATTTTACTGCCTTTTAACCCGTAGATTATCTTCCATCTTTCCATTTCACCTTATTTCTCCCAACAATATCATTTCTTCATCACCCGTATTGATTTTGTAAAGACAAGAATTGGGTGGGTTATGATTCTTAAATTATCAAAGACAGTAGGATAAAGACGATAGAATCGTAGAAAAACATCGGCTTAGCTAATGAAGTTATTTCCCATGATTTGTCAAATCCGAAACATTAATTTTTGAATCTTTTTTTGAAATTGAGTTTTTCGATACATGTATCAATGAATATTTCTTATCATCCTTCTTTAATCATGCATTTTTCTATATTTTTTCAAGTCTCACACATCACCAATAATATAACAGATTAAACATCTCTGGATAACTAAAGTAATTTCAAATGACATCGAAAAATAAGTGCATTAGAAAATGAACTTAAAAATTAAAAATGCAGTCTGGGACAGTTTTCTTTCATGTTGAATAAACATTAAACATAGTAAATATATAAATAGCTCTTGCAAAAGTCTTTCGCCGGCAATTCCAAAGATAAGTGATGCTTAGGATTAACTTATGCAGTTCAGAACATTATTTAAACAAACATACATCTGAAAAAGTAAATGTAATTAACTCTGGAATAAAGTATGCACGAATTGTTCATAGTCCAAAGCTCCCGGTATCGATCGACCCGAAATGGAATCTGTATACGGCTTCATACGCTTAATGCAGTATTCCGCTTGTTCGGGCGTAAGATTCTACAATTTTTTCAACAGTTTCGCAGCGATAATACCTTATACACAAAAGCTGTATACTAAAAAATATAATCTTATAAGAGATAAACTCATTGTCTCTTGGTATCGTAGGCACATATATTCTAAATTGGATCCGGCCGTTATGCAAGAAATTTCATGGAAACTTGTGATAGAGTTCTCAAACGTCAAGTGGTTCCATCATTCACAAGTTAGAAAAATTTAACTTACTGCATATAGTTCTTCAGCCGTAACATACGGTCGGAATTCCTTCGACAGAGCTCGAAATGCACTTTCAATTTCTTCACTTGATTGAATATTTTCGGTTTCCTTTGAGATCATGAATGCCATGTACTCTTGTAACGTAACATAACCATCCCGATTCGGATCGACAATGTCCAAAATTCGCTGGAATTCTGGTTCCGGTTGCCCCTCATCAACCATAGGCAAGTCGTAACCAAGTGCCCGCAAGCAACTCTTGAACTGCTGATGATCAAGACGTCCACACTTTTCCTGAACATCGTTGAAATAATTTGGAAAAGACCGCATGTGAAATATAGCACAGCAGGTGCTTTAAGCGTTAAAATTCCAATACCTGAAACTAATTTCTTATCATTTTGAAAGAGATGAATTTACCTTATCGAAATGTTTAAACATCATGGAAAATTCTCGGAGTGCTTCTTCAGTTACACCGGACTGATTGCGTGCTTGAATTTGCTGCTCAAGATTGTGTTGCATTCTCATCGCAAGCTGATCAAGTTGATCCCAAGCTTGAGCTAAGCCGACGGTGCTATAAATTAGTTTATATATTTACTTCGCTTTTTGTTTAGATAATCATACAGAACCAAGTAAAACGTTTTGCTATTCAATGTGGGACGTCCAAACCTTCGAATCGAAAGGCTAAATACGAAGTATGATATAAGGTAAAGTGAAAAAAATAGAAAAAAAATCTATTTTAATATGGGTTCTTTGAAAACACAAACCTATGTTCGGTATAGCGATTATCTAGAATGAGGTATTCTTCTAGAAGGGCGCCTAAATCTTCGATTTTCTTCAACTGAATGCGATTGTTTTTCACATCTACAGCCTATAACAAACAAAAACAATTTAAGTGAAGCAGTATGAATTCAGAGGAAACAGCTGACTGCTCTCCCCCAAAATCATCCTCTTGCATTCTAAAGAAAAAGAGTTAATAATGATAGCACGGCGAAAGCATAAAAGAAACTGCGATACGCAGTGTGCTCCCCAGAATATGAAAGGATCTGAAAGTGGATGGTATCGGAAAAATTATCACCAATTTTCCATAACATAAAAACCGAAAAAGCTTTTACAAAGAACACTTACTTTCTTCTTCAACAGCTCAAGTTGCTCTTCAAGTGTACCACTTGTTTCCATCATTGCTGCACGAGTTTCGGTAAGCCATTGATGAAATGCATTTGCTTGCCGAGCAAAATCACGTCGCAGTTTGTCGTTATCTTCCTGGCGACGATGTTCTTTTTGCAATTCAATTTCACGTTCCTAAATTACACGAAAAACAAAATTAAAATTTCAATAAATTTTTATAGCTGGTATGTAGGAACTCTGCTGAAATCCATATTAATTACGTAGATGTGCGCTTAAATGTAAATAGGATCTTATAACCTTAATGATTTTTTGTAAATTACGCCACGTTTCTTCTAATGCATCCATTGTAAACCATGTATATGGATTTGGTCCAACATTAAATGATGTAATTTGTCTGTCGAGCAGTTGCAGTTGCCTGAAATCTTCCTCAGCTGCCGATAATGATTTATGGAATTCGGCATGAGCTTCACGTAAAGCGCTGATCTCCTCCAATGAATTACAACGTACTGGATCTGTCAAATCTTCTTCTGCATTCTCGAACCATGAGTTGAATGCGGAAGCCTGAAGATCATTATTCTATTATTCTATATATATGAAGATCTACACTCATTCAACGGAATTTAAATAAAACTCTTTTTAATGCTCAAAAATCGAATCTTTCAAGATTCGAATACCGTTAAATAATGATATACTGCTGAATGCAGAACCACTGAGGACACCAATAGCAAAGTCTAACAGCTTGAAAAGCATCTGTAATAGTCTATTACGGCTCACAATTCCGAGAATATAATGTGAAAAATATAAACCTTTTTTGCAAAGGTAAGATAAAGTTCTTCAATTTGTTTATACTGATCTTGCATCTTCAGTAGTTTCTGGCGCCTTGCTTCTGAATTTGCAAGAAGCTGTTGCCAACGTCCGATAACATTTCCGTGTCGCTTCTCGATGTTCGGTGTCTGGGAATGATGAGCATTTACAAGTTGGTCTTTAAGTTCCGTGATACGCTGGATACCTTCGTGCTCAAAAGCATTTAAACCTGCATCGAATGCTTCTTGTTTAGTTAACAGAATTTGCACAGACGATAAATCGCGCCCAAAATCATCCGATCGTACTTGCTGCTCCTTTTCCGCTGAAAAACTTCTTTCATTTTTCAGCCAACTTAAATTTAGAACAAAAAATGCATTCATTTGCAGTTTCTTTAAAGTGTTGCACAAAAAGAACCAGAATAAAAAAGAGAAAAAGCAAAGAGAAAAAAGCGAAAATGAAAGTTTCTACCGATCCAGCTCTCTACAACATCGCATTTCCACATAAATTGCAAATAGGCGCTGTTATCTTGGAGACGTTGTAAGCGACGTCGGGCTAATTCAGCAATCTCACTGAGACGTGTATTTAGCTGATCACAACGTGCTTTGATACTTGGACTGTGATGATTACCATCATCAATTAGCTGGAAGGTAATAACACTGATAAATGTTCTACTCTAACTAATAAATGGTGTATTTTCCTTTTTTAAAAATTACCTTAAAATTCACTACAAAATCGGTCAGGGATTACGATTATTTCTCCCAAACTGTTATTGCCATCCAGATATTATCTATCGCGCGGAGACTCACTTGGAGTAGTTCTCACTCAATACACCGTAATACTTAATTACAAAGATGTTTTATGCTGAATGAAATTATGCACTAATTGAAGCAGCTTGTAATTTTATTAATCCCAAAATCCAGTTGTAATGAAAAGAAATAATGCCTTTTGCCCTTCAGCAATTAAGTGATCAATACGTTGGGTGTGAAGTGCAAGATCAGCTTCAAAAGCATCGTGTTTTTTCAGTAAACCTTGCACACCAGCCATATTTTCTCCGAAATTATCCGATGATAGAATTTGCTGTTTCTCATTCATCCACGCCTCCTCCTCCTCCACTTTACCCACAAATATTTGGAAGTCTTCACTCTCGCCGAGTTTTTGCTGCCTGAAATAATACGCATATTTTCTTAAAAAAGGAATCCAAAAACCAAACTGCACATCTTATTCTATTTAGCTTTTTTGTTTCAAATTTCATTGAACCAAGATCAAATTTTTGTCAGTGGCTTTAATAAATTAATAGGTCAACCTCTTTCCAGTAATATTTCGTATTTCATTCCAACTTTCCTCCAAAGCTTGCATGCGCTTCCTTATTTCCGGAGCAGCAGTATCCGAAAGATTAATCAATTCCAAGCCCTTATCGCGAACAAGATCTACTTGTGGTTCATGTGAAACTAGTTCATTATCAAGGCGGCGATGCTTTTTACGTAAATTCTGCACGCCGGTCAAATCGCGCCCATAATCATCGCTCGAAACAAGTAATTTTTTTTCCCTGTAAATTAATAGTGAATAAATAAGGCATTAAAATGCGGCCGGAATATTGGACCAAACTGAAATTGAACTAAAAAAACCCACTTAATCCATGACTCTTCATCATCCATGTCACGCAGAAACTGATAAACAGTAATAGCTTTATTCAGCTTATCGTGTCGAATGTTTGCCATTTCCCGAATTTTCTCATGACGATCATTTATAGCCTAAATCACCACAAAGAATAAGTGAAAATAAAATCATGACTGATAGGCAAGGACAGCACTGACACACAGTTGTAAGATCATAATTTATAATTTAAATTTATAACATGCTCCTAATAATCAAATTCTTCTGACCGTGAAGGTCGGCATTATGAAATCGATAAGTTTTAAAAATGTAGAGATCTGAAAATGCAGGGAATTCGGCTGG